CCCCTCCCCTTGAAATGCTGAATTTCCCAGATTCAAGAAATTGAAGTTAACAGCCCCCTGTCAGGAAACTGTCAACTTCCCTAATCCCACCAGTACACCTTGGCGTGACGGCCTTCCACTGTGCACCGAGCTTCTCCAAACCGCCAGGGGCACAGTTCTTTTGTTTTTTGGCTGGTGCCGCCAGCCATTGTGGTCCGGTAGCCCCAGGCGACGCAAGATTTCTCCACAAGGCTGGGGCCATGTACTGGCTGTTTAAGCCACCAGTATGCCGTGGGCCTACAGATGCTGTCAACAGTGCGCATGGAGGCCGCTGTCAGGCTCAGCCTATTGGGTGCAAAAAGATGTGCTAGGGGCCCAGCTTTGGCGTTTTTCAAAAAATCCCAAGAAATCATTTATGTAGGACAAGTTTCCGGGTCTTTGCCCTGCTAGTAAGGTTAAAGGTTAGAATCCAAGTGCGATGTCGCACCGGTCACACACAATTGCCATTGGACCTGACAGATCGGACACGCAAACCATTGTGGTATGGAACACCTTATCCAAGAAAGAAGAACAAAAACAGAAGAGATTTCTCGTAACACGGGTGATTTGGACGGCATGTGTTTCCTGCCCAAACGATGATGGTCTGCTTCTCTGGCATATGAGTCTTTGTTACACACGACTCTGAAGAAGATGTGGTAGGCATGTCCATAATGGTTCTATCCTCTATGGAGATGGCTCTTGTCGGCAGCCATTAGATTCATGGGCCACCTGAAATGTCAGCTTCCTCAATTTCACAACAAGAAAGAGGAGTGTGAGGATTGAGCCCTCAAGAAGGGGCCTTGCCTCGATGTACATGTTCTGGGCTAAGGCCCCAGCAAGCCTCGTGCCCACCCTAAGTGAAGGTGGGCCAGCAAATCAACAAGAGCCCTCTGTGCAAACATTTCACGAAGTGGGGTGCATACAGTTGCAGCACGCCAGTTGGTTGGAGTGCACCGAGTCTCGAATCTCTGCAAATGTGGAGATCCCAGGGCCTCTGAGTTAGTTAGGCCCTGGGCACTTGAACGTGAGTCCGACAATGCATGCTGGGTATAGAGGCCGAAAATGCCAAAGGGAAATCGGCCTATCTGAATCTGGCCGCAGGCCTTGACGAAAGAGGCGCAACTGCATCACCCGGGCCCCAACTGCATTCGGGCCTGGGTTCAGGCACTGGGGCCCAGTCGCAGGCTGAAGGGAGGCCGCCCACACGCAGCATTGACATATAGGCAAGCAGGGCGAGTGGGCAGGGATCCTTTGCCAATGCAGGCATTGCCGGCACGCTGCGCGAACGCCAGGTGCTGCGCAGTGTTAAGGTGCATTGGGCACAAGGGAGACAGGCAGCGCGAATACGGTGGTGCGCTGCCTGGGCGCAGGGCGCTGGCGGCCATAGCCGGGCTGCTGGCGGGCGCAGGGGAGGTGAGGGCGAAGGTGGTTCTTTGGAGGTGAAGGGCGCTGTGTGGGTTAACAAGGGACAGTGTTGGTGAAGGAGGAGACGTACCTGGTAGAGGTGGAGGTCGGCATTGGTGTTGACATCATCACTCGCTGGTCGTCAAGTTGTCTGGTTGCTTTCATTGCTGTAGTTGTAGGCTTAGGCTGTAGAGTAGATAGGGCGCCTGGCGCCATTCAGAAGAGAGAGCTACATTGGGTTATGCTGTTGGTGTTGCCCTGTTGGGCTTGGACATTGACTCACGATTCTTCTGTATCATTCTCAAATGGATGGTTACCCGGTTCCATTGTGCGATCTGCTCGTGCTCTGACTACTTGGACTTCAGTGTGATTTTGCAATCTAGATTTTTGTGCTTCGTCCATAATCATGATCCTTGCAATTTGGTATCGGAGCCGGTTTGATTCGCCACTTACCTTTGGCACGCTGGCGTTATACAGACTTGGTGCGTTGAGGATGCTTCTTCGCAGTTGGTACTTGTGACGTCAGGCCACATAGGCGCACACCCTGGGTAGAGAGGGGTGCGCCGGAAGGCTAAGACGGCAGTGTATGTCGTGGTGACAGGCGGAATGTATGATTGGTGATGAGAGCATGCTGATGTGGCATTCGGCTGAGGTGGCACTGCATGCGTTGTGGGTGGTACCGAGGCCAAGACCGGTCCTCAAATGCA